CCAAGATGGCCTGCGCGAAAGCCACCACCTGGCTACGGCTAGGAGCCCTTCCAGACTTTTCTTCATTGAGGCACCAGTCGACTACATGCCTCTCTTGCACAGGACTGAGCCGTTGTTCGTGGACTTTGGCTTGTTGTCGAGGGTGGGCGCTGTAACGGTCTCAGGTAGTATATTGCAATTAGCTGATGACGACTCTACGAGTACACTGAACTTGGGGAAGGAAAGAAGAGATGTGAGACTCTGGTAGCTCGAGAGCCAATTTATCCTCACAGGTGTGCGCTGCTAGAAGGTTCGACACTGTGGGTCAAGTGGGAATAGCTTCATCCAGGGGGTTTGGTGGACCGTGCTTGTACGAGAGCTGGCCGAGGGTCACCGAGGCCCATCTGGGGCCCAGCCCGTTACACTGAGCTCCTTATAATACCAAGCTATAATCACAGCGCATTAGCCGTAACATATCCCGAAGATTCGTCTCGAGTTGTCTATTGCTACCAATCACTATTTCTTACTAAACATAGCCTCTACTTCAGTATTAGTAAGGTACTCTCTACCCAGTATAGGAGCGATTATATTGATAGAACTGTACAGGGTTCTGGTATTGTATCATTCCTCAGTGACGGCAAGTGGATTATAATCAAGTTAAACCGACTTGGTATCGCAAAGAGACACACATACGACCTAACATCCAGTCAGACCTCGGCCTCCTTGTCACCACGCAACTCCGCGATGTCACAGTTCCCCTCACTTTACTGCTGGTTAGGGCTCTGGTCTCTGCCCAGGTACCGGCTTCCCAAGGCAGCCTTGAAAGTTCACTGTAAGCACATCATCAGCAGTCAGATCCATTCAGGTCGTCACTCCGTATTAAACACACCTTGATTGCAGTATATCGACATAGCAACCTGAAGGAAGACCGGGCATTTTTACTCTCTCGAGTAGGTAACAGCATATGCTAGCAAAGGCCCTCGATAAGCCTCTCGTAATATCTTCGTTCGCATATGTACATCCTGCCATGGGACCCAGTATCAATGCTAACTTGCCGATGCCTGTGTGCATCTCCGCTCCTCAACTACCAGCCCTTGAGGAACGTCCTGCCCCATCTATATTCATCATCTGCCAGTGAATCCCTTGACGATGAAGTCTACGGCAGAATTGATGTAGCTGGGACGGATGTAGGTGAGGTGCCAGTATGTGCAGTTTCCAGCGTTTGGATCGCAAACCTGACAGGGTGAAGACATAAAAGTGGTGAGTCAAATGATCATCAATGGTCCATCCGAAAGAGGGTCATCTCTCACCGGGTCGCCAGGCGCGCAGATCTGCATCGCCTTGTCGTTCAGCCCGGTGGGAAACCGGCTCAGGACCGGTCCCAGGCGGTGATAGCCATCTCCAAACATGACGAGAGACTTGATCCGAGGATACAGGTAGAGCGGGATGTCCTCCGCGGCTGAATGCATGACTGCTGCGCCCTGGGAGTAGCCAACGAGCGAGAAAGTCTGCCGCGGGCAAGAAATGGCTTGGCGTCTGAGGCGGTTGACCACGTCAGTGGCGCCTCGGCGAACGCCAGTGATGTCCGAGCTGGCGGGATACTGTTCATGAAGTAAGAAGACGACAACCCTTTGCAGGTAGGCTGAAACCTTATCACTCACCTGCACAGGGTAGCCCCTGGCGCCGGGAAGTCGGAGAGTCGTGTTGCTGACGACCGGATCGCCGACGACTACGCCGAACTTGCCACCATTGGCGTAGTTCGGCTCGCCCGTTCCGCGAGCTGATGCGTGTTACCGTGTCTTGTTTGGAAAGAAACAAAGGAAACGCCAAGCAGCCCACAGATGTCACTTACCGACGAGAATCTCGTAGTCAGAGCACCCAGCCGGAATATGCGCGGGATTCGGGGGGACCCCAGCTCCGAGGTCCAGGTCAGGGACGTCGGGACAGGTCTCTTGGCCGAAAACAAGACTCAGGGACACGAGGGAAAGAGCAAGGATTTTTGTAGACAGCATTGTGATGAAGGGGAATTCGCTAGGATCAGGCTAATTCTGGTAGGATCTGGGACTGTGGATGGACTGGTGAACTATGAGTTAGACTTGACCCTCGTGGTTGATGGGGGGTGTTTTATACCTTTGGCCCTACTACGTCTACACTATCCAAGAGTAGCCCTCTCTTCTGCGGTCTTGTAAAGTGTTGAGCCTCGGGACCTCGGTAGTAGTCTGGATGCCTCGACGTTCAAGTTCAATGTCACCCTCTCCCAGTGAGGAACGCCAGGATCTCCGCAAGCCATGCCTAAAGGAGGCGATGGCATCTCACTGCGGTCCCCGATCTCCATCAAGAAAGTGGAAGCCCTTGAGAAAGCATTGAAGCTTCCCATCGTATGGCGAATGGCAGAAACCTGGAGGTACGCACCTGGTATGCAAGTGTGTGGCCTTGACGACTCATAGGTCGCTCCAGAGCCTCGGCAGTGGAATGCACCCCAGAATTCGCAAATATGACCTAAAAGGGTAAAGTCCTGAGATGCGTCGAATTACCCCTCCTTCTCATTTATCTGATGCTTCCCATCCCCCCTCCTCCTCAAATATGCCCAATTCAACAAGCATGACATCTGTACCTCGGATAGAGTTGCCTCTCCCAACCGAGCCAGCGCACCGATGCCCAGAGCAGAACTGCCTCTGAGGTGGCACTGTGATGGTCGGCCGCACGCAGTGAGAGAGTCGGCTGTAGCATATGTCCTGCAAGAGGATTGAATGGTTAACAAAGAACCTGAAGAGGCTCATAGAGCTGGAGAGTTTCCGCGTATAGTCAGAAACAGACGATAAGTCCTTCCTGCTGCCGCTTGCTGAACGGCACCCCGTTGGGCACCGGTTGCTGCGGAATTATTAAACTTCTGGACCCACCTGCTGCATTTGGAGGTGCCCAGGGTTGGTCATTGGTCATGCAGCCCGGAGACTCCGGGCCGGAGTAGAGAACGCCAGAGTGGAGAATGGCCGAGGAAAAGACACGACCCTTTGGCAATACGGTGTGGTAAAGATAGAAAACAGCGCCCGCAGTCGTTTACTTGCTTGGGAATGTCTTGTTGCATACACCAGTTCAACCTAGTACCAAAGCTGTAAGTTGACTTGCGGAGCCTACTTGAACTACAATGCCAAGCAAGCATTAAGACCCGCGATGGTGGATTTGGGTGCAAATGATTAACATTCCAATATCGTCTTACATTGCCTTCTGTCTCATCCCAAAGCCTCTGCCGTGGGCAAGTTATTTACAAGACAATGGCCTTGCTGAGGGCAGAAGACCCATTTGCTGACCAGAAATACGCACAGTATTTGCCCTATTTTGATGCCCCGGGAATTTTGGAAGTGTGCGGCGCCCACATCATCTGGAGGTAAACCCGAAATTTCCTCCATTCTTTCGACGCTTCATCTTTCTTGTCTTCTTTTTGTTCCATCATCGTCACACCTTCCAGCAAGATGACCAGAAACAACAACCATAACCGCAATAGAATGACCAGTCCTAGGCGCGCGGGCAACAACAATCGGTTCGGGTTTTCTGGCCGAGGCAACCGACCTGGCCAACGCGGCCGCAACAATCGCATGAACAGTCGACAGATACCCAGTTTACGGACTCGATGGACACGCCCACCGAGTTCGAGTGGAGGCATGCTGCCTACAAGTCAAGTAGTGCCCTTCTTAAACTTTCGCAATCACAAACCAGGTGCACGGTTCCGTCAATATCAACATACATCCATCAACCCTTTCTACACCGTTGCGCCGCCTCGGTCTTTTTCGGTGTTCCCACCTTCTCCAGCCCCAAACCGACCGACAACCTCCCGGGTTTGGCATGAAACGCGGCGAAAATCACCTTGGATTCGAGCAGCAGCCCACCTTGCCGCCCACCGCACCCCTCGAACCCATGAGGACGAGACGTGCCAACCGCCAATTGTCTGCTCCCGAGGCATTCAGAGCCAACAAGAGACAGAAAAAGGGCGAAAGGTCCCAGAGTAGGCAACCGAGCCCCAGGGATTCCGCCGACACAGGTCCCGCCCGCCCCGACGATCTGCCGGCGTCTGCTGCGATCAGAGAGAAGAATGATCCGAGTCCAGCCCCGTATACCGACGAGAGTTTTTGAACGAGAGCGTGTCACCTTTTTTCATCGTTTTCAAAGCGGTTCGATGCGCTAGATTGAGGAAACCAGGCAAACCCTTCTTGGCGACGCCACCGGCTTTTCCGTCATCAAGCGCGAAGACATTCGCAAGGCTGATCAGAGCAAGGCCGGCTTGATGACGGCTTACAACATTCAGAAACCTCCCATTGCTGGTTCAGTCACGACTTGTGCCTCCACGCCGGACAAGCCCATCACGGAGGAGATGGACAACCAGATGAGTTCAGTGGTGCCTGGGCGGAGCAGCAACGAGGGCGCCGTGTCGGTGGTCAAGGTGGAGAGGGAGAAGCGCAATGTCAAAATCAGAACCGAGAGTCCTTGAGGGCAATGACCTAGACTGAGAGTTTATGTGCACAATGCCACCACGTAGTATTAACATCATCAGAACATGCACTAAGAGTCCTCTGGCAGGCAGTAAAACCTCTCGCAATTTAGCATCGATGATATTTGCTAGAGAGTCCTGACACTCAGACTGGCTTCCATTCATCCTTCCAAGCCTTCTGGAGGTGCGCCCTGGCAGCATCCGGGCTATTCCCCCCCCCCAAAAGTCGCATACCATAGGAAGAACACTGCCAGCTCGAACGACATCGGGGTAATCACCACCATCATCGACCACCTGTAGTATCAGCTGTGCGTAGCCCCGCGGACGAGCCCCAATGTGCGGTGGGCGATGAGCTGGATTGTTCGCATGGGAGACGGCCTCGTAGGGTAATGGAGGGTTCACCCCGTGAGAGAGGCACGTTCGGGAAGCGGGCGCTTGGCTTGAGGGGTAATCCTGTGATTGGCGCTGTTCGGGTTTCGAAGATGACTTCACTCGATGAGTGAACCCGCGTGTGTTATGATGAAGCAGGATTCTTGCCAGTTGGCGGCGTGGAAGATGAGAAGGCAGATGTTGAACTAGGCGGCCTTGTCGGCTATTTATTGTAGGGCTGTGATAGGAGATGTTAGTGGTAAATGCTATTGAGAATGGGGATAAAACACACCTCGGTTACGTCTCCTATCGGCCCGTCTAGAGCTTCCCAGTCTCGGGACGCTGGTTGTCTGCGAAATGCGCAGGAGCACGCCGGTAGCCGCTCGAGCAAGCCGTCTTGTATATGCGCGATCTCGAGCAGTTCCGTTGACTCGTGGTTGAGCAGCTGCTCGCTGGCGGCAGCTGTTCTTTGCCTGGGGAGTGAACTCCGCCGCTCCGCAGTAGCTGCTGCCAACCAACAGGCCAATAGTTCAGCATTGGTTCTTCTCTCAACCGTGTTTGCGTCCCTGCCCTGGCTCTGACAACCGCCGATCCTCGGAACCGGAATCAGCGTGCCAGATTCCAGGCGGCACCGCGTCGAGGTGCAGAGTCCGACTTCGCCGCCCACCCTCCTCTTCCCTTTGCCCGATGTATCTGGTGGTGGTGCTAGGCCTTGCCTTCCAAATAAACTATCCTACTATCTCTCCCAATGGATAAGGCCCTCTTGACTTTACCCGTCAGTTCATCATCGCTTCAATAATCCAGCTCCATCGACGACCCGGAACTACCGTTATCGGCCAAAGAGTGTAACGGGCTGGGCCCGGTGCGAGCCTCGGCGACTCTCGGCCAATACCAAGACCCCTGATGAGGCTATTCCCACTCGCCCCACAGCACACCGAACCTTCTAGCAACGCGCTCAGACCAGCGCGCCGACGAGGATAAGTATGCTTGCGAGCTACCAGAGTCTGTCGTCTCTCCTTTTCTTCTCCAAGTTCAGTGTACTCGTAGAGTCGTCATCAGCTAGTTGCAATATACTACCTGAGACCGTTACAAAGAGCACCGAATCTCATCCAAGCTCAGCGAGTTGCCAACCCCACCAAGCTGAATGATTTTCTTATTCCATGTGGTTAATCGTTTTCCAAAGGGTATTTCTTTCCCCTTAGGGGCAGTCTGTATCTCCTGTGAGGTGTTTCCCTTTCAGTCTTCGATGGACATGCAGGTCATTGTAAATGGCCACTTGTGTCCATTGCGACAACATCCAGGTGCCACTGTGGCACCTGCCCGATGCGTCTTGTGACAACTCCATGGAGCCGTTTTCGTTCTTCCCGCTTCGGTCTTCGATGGACGTGCAGTCAATGTAACAACAGCCGTGGGGCATCCAGTGAACTGTGACAATTCATCGATGTGCATTGCGACAATGCCCCGTTGGGTCCACTGTGACGACGCCCAGGTGTGTCCATTCCATGACTGTTGCCCCATCTGGAATTGTGACAGCTCCTTGAAGCCGTTACCTCATCCGGGTAACTCATGTTCGGTGCCTGCCGTCGCAATTTGAGCAGGTCAGCCTCGTGGGGATGATTCTGTTTTTGAGAGGCAGAAAAAAAAAGAAAAAGAGAACGAAATAATGCTTTAACTGCGCGCCAGGCAATCATTGGGTCATCCCAGATGTGGCACGCCGTGTGGTTCTCTCATCACCAAGGCTTCTGGTTATTTCTCAGGCGCTGATAACAGTTCTTCCATCGCGGAGGAACTTCTGTTTCTCGCTCCTGGTAGAAGGCAGCTTCGTTCAGATAGGCCTGGGGCGGCTTACACTCGAGTGGGCGTTTCTTGCGGAAGTTGATCCAAAGGTCGGCCGCCCAGTAGTAGACTGGGCTCTTACTATCGCTACAGGTGCTGTCTTTGTTTGAAGAAGCGTTTGCACATCAAGGTCGCGAGGTCCTAGATTAGTTCCCAATGGTGCTTCCTGTCGAGGTGGTTTTCTGCAAACTTCAGCAGCGTCACCGCCTTGTCGCAGGCGTCTGGCCACGACACGGAGCTGGAGTCAATATCTTTGGCAAACTGACTTGAGATTTGGTGATTGAGTTACGCGGGCCACCAGGTTTCTCCAGAACAGCAGTGTTGCGTGCGCAGGCGGAGCTCCATCTGGTTCATGATATTGAGGACTTCTCGATCGTGCAAACAATCGGCGAACTGGAAAAGTAAGATATCTGTGCAGCGGATAAACCTGGTTTTGTTACAAACAATATCCGCCAACTGAGGTGTCTTTGGTTCATTGTGTTCTTTTGGTCAAATTGCGACATTTCGCGTGGTTGGGTGGATGGAAAAGGAAACTGGAGGTGCGGGATTTTGTTCAAGTCAAATCTCGAGCGGGTTCCGGGTTTTCCACGGTAGACTTTCCGGTCTTCACACTGGCACCTTTCAGATTGTGGCCTGCACCTCGAGGTAGGAAAGCTCGAAAAAGGGGCAGGGCAGCCTCAACAAGCTCTCCCACAGTGCATGTCGGTCAAGGTCGACATGAAGCAGGTTTCGAAGCTCGAACATTATCACTTGAAAACTCTCAAGGTGGTCGGAATACATAACTTAGGGAGGTCAATACCTACATTACCTGACTTAGCTTGACCGCCTTGTCCGGTGACGAACCTGAGGTCATCGACAAACGGCCGGCGATCGCGGCCACGAGGCATGTTGAGGCGCACCCGGTCGTCAACGACTCAAATGCCGAAGTCTTCCACTTCGATCTGTACGAATTGTACCTTGAGAAAAGCTGAACCGACCAGATCTGTCTATCGACTCTCCACACGTACCTGAGGGCATCTGCCGGGCGGTTTGGTCGGATTGAATTAATGGTGCCCACATTTTCAATTTCAACATCCGTGTATGGTTTCCTCCCTCCCTCCCAGCCGACTTTGACATTGACATCAATCTTTAAGAGTAACTGGCGACTGTTGCAAATTCTGGGCTGGATATCCATTCAACTACTCACCACTGCACTCCTCCAGTCACAATAAAGGGACACTGCGCCCTCATCGGCATCCCCTAAGAGTCCACAATGCTGTCCACCCAAACCGTCCTCTCCTCGACCTCGACCCCACCAGAAATTATCATTCGGATACTCCCGGGATTACGACAGCTTTTAACAGCTGTGCAATCTCGTCTCTGTGTCCCGCCAAGTGTACTCGGTCTGACAGGCCAATGCCTCCTCGATCATTTGGCACGTGGCGCCAAAGGAAATCCTGCTCTTCGACCTTGCTTTAGGTCACGGTATGTCCGTTACTTCTAACGCCGTGCATTTGTGTCACCTGATCTGACATGAGCAGGTGGCTATAGGTTCGCGCTACTGCTCTGGTTCACGAGGCCTATTCGGAAGGGCGACTCCCTCCAACGATCCGGCCGCAGGAACTCACCGGCCACCTAAAGGAGCCGAGTCTCGGAGAGTTGAAGGAGGTGCTGAGTTTAGACCAATTCATCCGATACAGGAGTGCAAATATAGATTCGGGGACTTCGGGCTGGAAGAGGAGTGCTCCCAATCCTTTGGTAAGAGACAGACGAGCTTGCTGTTCATCGGCGCCATCAACGCGAGCCCGTACGAGGAGGATCAGGTGGTGGACGTCAAGGCCTGGAAGGCGAGGTTTTACCTGATCGCTTATACCACGCTTCTCCTTGGGCGCGATTCTATCGCGAGCATACACCGGGCTTTTCGCCTCACGCGTCAGAGGCGCACTGGCAGGTGCGTCAGTATACGGGCTTACAAAGGGCGGCTCTTGAAGAAGATGCGCTTTTATGCCGCCAAGGGCTCCGACAGTTTCGACATGTCTCAAACTGAGGTTGATTACATGCGCCATTTCGCTGTAGCGCACTTACGCATAGATGTCCGGGAACAATCCGAGGTATTTGAGGGGGCTTGCGGACTGGTTCATCGAACACAACTTTGCGGAGTCAGAAGCTCGCGAGCCATTTGAGCCACCGAGCTTTCAACCCCTGGTCTATACCAAGCTGTTGGACGAGGGCGCCGGCTCCTGGCCGGAGGCCACACTCTTGTCGGAATCGTTCGCCCAAAGATCAACTGACGAAGGCAGAATCGTTTTCAGGACAGCCACGCAACGCATTCACATGTTCAACTTTCTGCTGGAATGGTTGAACAGTTCAGATGCAACAAGGCCGAGCGTAGTCGAATGGCTCGCCACTGGAGGCAGAAAGGGAAGGCGACGGCTATCTTGCTTGGCCCTTTCTAGCCCGAGGAAGTTGAGATGCCAACTGAGGTCTCCGACGGTCGAATCCCCGCACAAGAGCCGACTTGATCGAGTCCCTATTTCCTATCTGCAGAGAGGGCTTCGACGATCTTCAGGACTCCGACCACTTCAGGAACGAAGAGAACACGCTGGGCTCGGAGGGTCCCTACGTTCCCCTATACCCCTTGAAATTCTTCGCCGTCCTCCTCGTGAAGGACTTCGGCCTGCGCCTGGTCAAAGGAGACATGGCGTGTACTGGGCGCCCATGATGGAGACGGAAGCATCTGACGATACTTGACGGATGCTGCGCTCAACCAGGGCCCAGCTGCGGTTGATTGCAGACTTGTTCAGCTGCGCAATGATTTCTCGCGGCTGCAACTTCAACCGACCGACAGCTTCCTCGGCCGCGCCGCGGGCTCTTCAAGGGCCCCAACATGAATCCTGTCGCGCCAACCCGCCAGATTCCCGGCGCCTTCATTGACACGCCGGGACCAAACACGGTCCGGCGGAAGCTCAGCTTCAATGAGTCTGCTGGCCCAAGCGCGAATGGGTATAGGCGCGTTGCCACCGTCAATCCCCGAGTCGATCTACGTCCTGAGGTAAGGAACCAGTGATATGACATCAGGGTCCAAATCCAAGCGTCCTTTTCCGACTGCTCACGTGCTTCGCGGAATCCCACTTCAATCCAGTGTCTATCAGACTATCACTCACTGCTCGTTCTCAAGAACAGGTTTCATATCATCGTAACAGGTTTTCCGGTCATTCTATGACGGATTTATACATTTATCGGAACCTTCAGCCCTGTCAGCACAATCATTGACCTTCTCGGGCCGGGGCGGTGGTCTCGGACAATGGCCAAGCAGGCCACCCAACGATGTATGTCTCAGAGTCAGGCATGGAGATCCGAGCTTACTTGATGTCGCTGGCCGAGTTCAACCGTATATGGCATGGAAGCAATGGGGATTATCACGTGGAGGTTTCGGCAATCCCGAGGAGCTCACCCCCGTTTGCCTACGTGAGAGAATATATCTTCAGCATCCTACCTCCCTTTCACGGAGAAGAGTTTCTCAAATTCTTTTCTCCGAGTTCATAGTCTGCCTTACCCAACCTTATCCAAGCCTTCAAACACCTGCAACGCTACTCCACCACTGTCTAAACATGAAGTTTCTCAGCACGATCCTCTTTGGGGCTGCCACCATCAATGCTTGCTGGAGACAACGCATACAGGTGCAAGAACGCTGAAGGGAGTGGCTTCGAGGTGTATGCTGTGATTACGCCATCTGCAACAATGTCAACGGAGAGCTCTGCTATTGTCCCCCGAGCGAAACCAGAATGGAACATTCAAGAAGGAGTGCGAGAACCACGGCGACAACTGGTACTGGAGCAAAATGCTAAGTGAGTATAACGAGCTCCCGCATTATCAGTTTGTGTACCTTATTCTAATGATTCTCGGAGTCGGGTATAGGCGAGGAGCATACATGTGGAGACTTGTTGCTGCTTCGACCTCCTCAGGGTAAGCTCGTGAGGTAAGGGCAACAGAGCCCTGAAGGGCTCATGAAATCGCGGCGAGCGGGGCGGATGTTTTTATCGGCCTCTTGAACATGGCTTTCCCTACGCACTCGACTGTATTATGGGGAATGCTCGCCGGGACACTTCTTTGTGGGTCTCGAGCCTGATAAAAAACTCTGTGAAGCAGGAGTCTCAGCCAGGGACGGTGTTACAAACGGTGACAGTAATAATAAACGCGATAGTGTGGGTGTTGGAGATTACCGATCAGGTAGTAGTGGTAGTGGTGTTGGTGGTAGTAGTGGTAGTGGTGTTGGTGGTAGTAGTGGTAGTGGTGTTGGTGGTAGTAGTGGTAGTAGTGGTAGTTATAAACTAATCAATCATTTCTCTTCCTGCAAGGTGTGGAAATCACATAAAAAACCGTTTTCTTATAAGAATTAACGTCAACTAACGTTAGACATTAAATTGAAGTCACTTCTCTCCTTATCGGAACTGGAAAATAGTTGCATTAACATTATTTTCAACACCTCCATACCAGCCAGCATACCTTAGCAAGCGAGCCTCACCTAGCAATCTGGACGACATGTCACACACAATTCCAGGTTCAACTCGAACCACCAACGCTGCGTCCCAATCCATGACCCGCACACCGATCATGCGCCACAGGCTGGCCACAACTTGGAACTTGCAAAACCACCCCAAACTTTCAAAGTTGGCCGAGCCATGCGGGGTCTGGGGCCTCTGGGCATCCCAGGAGCACTTCAAGTTTTGTCGTTGTCCAGTCTTTGATCTGGAAGCTACTGTATTTCGCCAATCACAAAGCGAAGAAACACCGCCACGGAATGCACCGATGTGCGTCCATCCACCAGACCCAGCGACGATCATGATTCTCGCTGCTCCCATCCTGTTGTCCATTCCTTTCGCTAACCACACGTTTTGAGACCATCATGAGCTCGCAACCCCTCAAACCTCACCCCCAATATCGAATCCGCTCTCATTGATTGGGGCTTCTCATGTGTGAAGCCAACCTCTCTGGCTTGGCTCCCGCAATGACAGGGGCATTGTGTGGTGGTTCAGCAGCTGAGGTGGGACATGCCCAACCAAGACGAGCTCTGATCTGAAAACCTGACGACAGTGGCGTCAGGATGCCGCCTGAACATACAATTGACGCACCGGTATGACATAACCCCAACAGCATTTGCGGGAGTGCAACTTCCAGGTGTGTTGTGACACGTAGCGTGTGTCTCGGGTTTCGCTGTGGATAGACGGCGAGTCATCCAATCCGAGGCACTCCCGGGGAGGGATCGCGATCTGCATGTGCGCCGATCCTTCCGCTAGGGGATTGGGCCGAGCCGTGGGAGCGTAATCTCTTTTCAACCTTGTGTCCGGTCTGGACAAGATCTCCGGGCCCGGGGGGATCCTCCGCGAGGATCTACCACTCCCCAGGGAGCATACCCCAGCCCGTCCTCGTGAGTCTACAGATATAACATGGGTGTACGACCATGGCTTGGGTGCAAAAGCAGGCTATCCAACACCCTCTGCTCTCCCCTCGTTGGCTTGGTTGGCGACTTCCCTCACCACGACTCACTCCCACGACAACATCAGGATAGCAATTCACAAATCCAATGCGGGGTTTCTCTGCATTAGCGCTCAGCGCTATTGCAGCGGCGGTTAGTGGTGCTGCCCTGCCCCGTACCGATGGCCCTCCGGCTACTGATTTTGATGCCGTCATCGTGGGTGGTGGTCCTGCTGGGTTGGCCGCGCTGAGCGGTCTGGCGCGCGTCCGACGGAAGGTTCTCCTTATTGACTCGGGCGAGTATCGCAACGCGCCAACAAGACACATGCATGATGTTTTGGGCTTTGATGGTAACTATCATTCTTGCTGTCTTGTTCTACCTACTATGCTCTTGGCTAACATAGGCGCAGGCGTCACCCCGGCCTACTTCCGCTGGGCAGCACGCCAACAACTCAGCCATTACACCACCGTGACCATGATCAACGGTACCGTGGTCAAGATCAGACCAGCCAACGAGCAAAACACGCACTTCATCGTCTCCTCGCTCAACCCGCAGGGCACGACCGAGACGAACATCACCGCCCGCAAGATCGTTCTCGCCACGGGCCTGCGCGACATCCTACCCAGCACACCCGGCATCCGCGAGAACTGGGGCCAGGGCATCTTTTGGTGCCCCTGGTGCGACGGCCACGAGCACGCGGACCAGCCGCTCGGCCTGCTCGGCAGCCTCGACAACGTCCCCGCCGCAGTCCGCGAGATGCTCACCCTCAACAAGGACATCATCGCGCTGGTCAACGGCACCGACACGCCTGAATTCCGCAACCTGACGGAGACGAAGCAAGCCAACTGGCAAAAGTACCTACAGATCCACAACGTCCGCGTCGACAACCGCACCATCACGCGCATCACCCGTCTGCGGAACGGGACAGATGGGACCGAGGACCCGAGCTTGCCTACCGTGGCCGAACATGACCTGTTCCGGGTCGAGTTCAGTGAGGGCGACCCGGTGGATAGGGCGGCGTTCTTGGCGGCGTTCCCCTCGGAGCAGACGTCCAAGGTCGGCGAGGAGATGGGTGTCCAGCTCTGGGGCGGCCGGCTGGCGGCCAACGCAAGTGCCGGTCTCATGACTAACGTCCCTGGGGTGTATGCGGTGGGAGATGCCAATTCCGATAACACTACCAATGTGCCACATGCTCTGTTTAGTGGGAAGCGGACAGCGGTGTTTCTGCATGGTTCGTTCTCCCTTTTCGATTGTTTGCTTCGAAGTTGCTCCTTTTCTGGACCAACACCAAACTTGCTCTGGCAGTTTGGCTCAGTTCTCTTCTATCAAAACAGCAGCTAATAACATCCCGCAGTGAGGCTGGCGCGTGAGGATGGCGAACGCGAGTTGAATGAGACCGAAGTGTCCTCAGACAAGGCCACAACCAATGCTGCGTCAAAGAGAGATCTTGAACACGCGGCGCGGTCATTGTGGGAGACCGTCAATGGCGAGCCTGGGGATATTCTTTACGCTGGTGAATTTGACCAATAGGCGGCACCTCGGATGAAGAGGGCCTGGGTCGATCATTGATGATCGCCAGGCACGATCTGGCGGTGAGTGACAAGGTCAGGGAATGGGTAGAGATCTTCCGGCGTTTTCATCCGATCCCTCAAAGTTTGTCCAGCCACCCGGCCCATGACAAGCACTCATGCAGCCGTCTTGTCAAAGTGGACCCTTGAAGTCGTGTTGGCTCTCCGGTAACGGTCCTCTAATTGCTAATTGTCTGGGCTTTTGCCTCCTTCCGGTGCAGCCGGTTCCGGCAAATATCAGACCAAGGATTAATGAAATAAAGTACGCTCAAACAACTCTAGATTTCACTCTTTTCATTCCCGGTCAGCATCATGGTGATACAGATGACCAACAAGAGGTCCTGCACTAGGGAGGAGAATCCGCGTGGTTGGAACAGCAGCATGCATGTTGTTAAGTTTAGAAACATGGCAAGGAGGACGAAGCATAGCGGTAGCATGAGAGCAACAACAATTAAGCTTCTATTTAGTGCCGCCAGTTGCTCGACTAACATGATAATTACCTAGCATATTAAATGAGGCTATGAGAGGCTGGGCAGCTGTCCCTGGTGCTTCTAGACGCTTCCGGCGCTACGGTGCTCGATCTGTCTTTATCCATAGACGGAATAGGATCCCGTTGTCCTGCAGTAAGACGGACGCAACTTGACACGAGATGAGGAACGGACCTTGTACTGAATGAAGTTTTGTCGCTTAACCCCGGATTTAATCCCAACAACCAACAACAGCGAAGGAGTTTTTATTGCGGATGTGAACCAGACCCAGCAGCCCAGGTACAAGGCTGGTCTGACGGGATAAAAATAGGTCTTTCGGTGATATTGTCATATTGACATCCAGCAAAAACTAACTCACAGAGTCCTTCAACAACGGTGATGATACCCCGTGCTGCCAAACTCAGCACAACGAGCCGAACCGCGCCAATGCTAGCGTTGATGAGAGTCCACAGAGCGGGATCTTGCCCATTCAATGTCAACATCGAGACCATGGTGAGGATGAGAGACAGGTATAAAGACCACATCTTCGTCGTCAAACCGGACTGACTGCTCACCATCATCTTCACCATCGGGTCAACAATCAAGCTTATTCCTGAGCCTTCAAACAACTCCAAGCCGCAATCTTCATCATGAAGCTCCTTTCGCTCCTCCCTTTGCTCCCGCTTGCGGCGGCTGCCCCCACAAACACCCTTGCCGCCCGTGGCCTCAGCGTCCCCAGCGCTGTCCCCGAGAAGGTCCGTGTGGTTGGTGTCTCTCTCCTCGGCTCCGGCTGCCCCGCGGGCACGGCCGACGTCCAAATCGACGCCACCAAGACCCTCCTCGAAGTCACCTTCTCCGAGTACATCATCCAGACCGGCCCGGGCACCAAGGCCGCCGACTGGCGCAAGAACTGCAAGCTCACGCTCAACCTCGAGTTCGACGAGGGCTTCTCGTACGTCCCCCGATCCATCCACGATGACTGACTCCGTCCAACTCGATCCGGTCCAGAAAAGCTGACCAAAGACCAACAACAACAAAAGATTCTCCACTCTCGCGACCGACATGCAAGGCTTCGCGCAGCTGCCCAAGGGCTCGCGCGGCCTCTGCACCAACACGTTCGACTTCACCGGCATCCAGGGCCAGTCGTACTACTCGCTCGCCCTGCCCGGCCCGCGCGAGGGCCCCTTCACGCTGAGCGCCAACCCGGACGTCGTCTCGTGGTCGCCCTGCGGCGGAACCACGGCAATCATGAACATGAACACGCAGTGCAACATCTCGCCCACCCGCGAACAGGCGCTCATTGCTGTATGTCCCTTTGCCCACCCGAAGTGCGGCAGGAAACCCAATGTTACGGAGATTGTTGCTGATGCTTGTGGTGGTGGCGGGGAACAGGTCGATCGCATCAGCGGCAAGATCACCGTCAATGTCTCGCTCGACTGGCGCAAGTGCTAAGGGGTGGAGCAGGGCTGGGGATGAAGGGGACGGGACGAGCCAGGGAATTGTTGGTGAGCGATGTGGTCTTGATGAGGATAACACCTGGTCATGTCTCATGCCAGTCTCAAATCTGATGATACGATCATCTCTTTGCCTTTTCTTGCCTGGTCTGTTCCCACAACTTCTTTCCTGGAGGGCAGAAGCTGGCTCTGGAGCGAGCAATGAGTCTGGTGCTACCGAGTGATATAGAGTGAAAGTGTATAAAGCCACTATGCTGCCACACCCGGCTCGGGTCCTTGGCCAATGTAGATTGCAGTTTCATGTTTATCCGAGTCTCTGCACCCGCGGTTAGCCCTCCGTCGCGCGTAAGGTATTACGGTTAAACGGGACAGGACCCGACCGAAGTTAGAGAATCCGATCTTGCGACGCACCAGTCTTTCCTCTTATCCTTGCCCCCGTACCAAGCCTTCGACTAAGTGTGCAGCCCTAACCACCTGTCCGAGGGTCTGTCGTGCAAGGCAATGAGCAGCTAATGCTGGGATCTGCCGCAGGCTGCAGGTATATGATGACGTGTGGAGAGTCGATAGATGAGATCCGGTCGGTCCAGTTTTCTCAATGTACCACTCGTACAAATTAAAATGGAAACATTGATCATCAGAGTCGTTGGCTACCGGGTAAGGCTTCATACCTTTCATGCCCGCGATAGTCGGTGCCGCCGTCCATCGATAACCTCAGGTTTGCCCGCGAATGTGACCTCAAGCTTCAGGTTGTCGAGGACCTCGTGGATCAGCGTTTGGCATAACTTGCGCTCGTCGAACGCATTTCCACGCGAGCCGTTTGCCTGCTTGCCACATTGACCCAAGACAAGGGCCGTGTTGCCCGGTCCTTTTGCTGCGCTAGTTGGGGTGACTTGCGCTGTTGCACACAAATCGGTAGCTGCCGCAAAGATTGCGGAGCTCGCGTCGGGCTGCAGCAACCCCGCCCAAACAACCATCTGGCGTTTACCACAAGCATTGACTGAACCCATGGCACGGCGAAAATCTGCCCGCGATGGAACTCTCAGGGACACAGGCAGTCTACACCTTTTTCAGGACATCGTGAATACTTGCCAGAGTGCGGCGACAGAAAACGCAGTCTGTTTTCCCTGTCGTTGGCGAGCAGAAGGTGCTGCCTGGCCACGACACCTTGACGATTCTCTCGCATCAAGCTCAAGATCCGTGACGGAGACAAGCTGCGCAGCGATTTGCAACAATGCGTCGAGTTCCTCAACCCCAGCAATCAATTTCGCCACGTATGACGCGTGACCGTTGCTGGCTTCATGCTCGACAACCCCGGCCAGATCCGGCGGGATTCTTCCCGCTTAGCAGATGCAAACCCGGCCAGTGACGCCGGCGGTAACGACAGCGATGATGATGACTTGGTGCCTGACCTTTCAGTGTCCTTACTCTCGATGCCCCGTTTCACAACAGAGCATAAGCAGGCTCAACACGACGCCTGGGTGCCGTTTGCGCAATTTCTCGCCCAGCTGCCTGGCTTGCAAGATCTGGTATACGCTTGTACCAGTCGAACACCGGCCTGCGTACCGACAGCACTGCATCAACATCACTCAAGAAGCTGTCTTCACATGCGGGCCTTCATCCTCTCCAGTCTCGACCACCAGCAGGTCGAACAAGTCCACGGCATCGATCCGGACGAATTCGCCCTTGTCACGTCGCCGTGCCTCTACCGCATCAATACCACATCTGAGATCGACACCCAATCTGCCTTCGCCTAAACTTCGACATGGAAGCCATAGACCGCATGGTGTCAGGAAGAGCCCCTGCTTTGAAGAGGGTACGCATCGATGGCCATGACCGGTGATGCTTGCAGATGCCCAGACCGCCCTGGAAGGGCTTCTTCCTCGAGGAGCCCCAGCATGAACTGGTCGAGTCAAAGCCAGCCCTCCTTGAGAGCCTGATCTTGTCCAGAAGGTACAACACCGATATATGGTGCGGTAACTTGGACGCCTGGGATCATCGTATCAGTTTTGGTGACCTCCTGTGCCGTGAGCTGGAGAGTTGGAAGTTGAGCGGTTCCAGTTCTCATGATATCTCAGTTCTGGCGTCTATGGCCGCAGCTGACAAGTTTCGCTTGCTTCGAGAGCAGGATCTGACGAGAAAAAGGGCCATCTCGATATGCTAACCATCGAATGTCTTCATGGCCTGCCTCCCTTCCAAACTCCAAAGCTTGACGGCAGCTTCGGCCAGGGCACGTTCGAGGCGGGCCTTCATTCCCATGGCCCGAGCCTACGCAAGTTGCATTTGGTTCTCGACAAAAAAGTGGTTCTCCCCTACTGACATGTCCGCGAGATGCAACAGCGGTGTCCCAAGCTCGAAGAGATTAATTTATGCGTGCGTCGTCACTGAGGGCGGCCCGGAGGAGATGGCTATCTACAGGGCCCTGGGGAGAATGCCTCCGCTGCGGCGCGCCAGGCTGTTTCTGGACTGCTGCGCTCTGTGCCTGCTCATCGATCGGGAATTGGTAGTTACTCGATAAAATGCAGCGGACTCGCAAGTATTTCAACAACTCCGGGATCGACGGGATTTGAGCTCACGCAATCTTCCAAGGGATAGCAGGCATTGCGCATTCACTTTTGGAGCGGCTCACCATCGAGACCTGTGGCAGCAACTTCACTGGGCCCTTTCTTGAATGTCCCTTGATATGGTTCCCGCGCAACTGGGTCTGCACTAGATATAGCGCAGGGGGCGAAGTGACGGTGCGAGAGTTTCGAGACATTCCGTGCTCATCAAACAGCTTATATGAGCATTTGAGGGAGAAAATACGACAGGTGGTCGACGAGATTCGAGCCATTTGGTCAGGGTTGTTGCCAAGGAGGGCTAAGGACTGGAGAGGTGAAGGGTGTAGCTTCCCTCTCTCGGATCAGGAGGCCGAGTGATAGGCCTGGCTCCTTGCAGAGTGCCTACCAAAACATGGCACCACGATTCGCCCTCACAACTGGCTCACCACTGCCCATGAGCCATCATCCAGAGTGAGATGCCGTCGCCTAACCATTCCATGGCATTACGACTATAAATAATTATCCGAAATATCCTGGTAACTATCATCTCCCTTTCACTTCGTTTTCTTGAGGCTACCCTCAGCCCTCGGTAGTGCGTCTAAATGGATGAAGCAAGTGCCCCCTGCGGACATAGACAAAGCCCGTGTACGCTGCCCACGCTGAAGCGACAGCGGCCACGGAGATGAGCGAGGGCCACTTGAACTGCTCGGGTCGGGAGAAAAAGATGGTCGATGCAAAGGAAAGGAGCTCGAAGGCGTTCTGCCATGCCGCCTCAACCGAGGAGAATGCGCCGCGAATTTCAGCCTCAACTTCCTAAGCAAATTGTCAGCCATGTGCCTTCCAACCTCTGAAGGTCTGACTTCAGCTCCCACCTCCTGGACGATGAGCTGCACACAAAGGTCGAAGCCTCTCAGGCCCAGACGGCTGAGTATGGTACCAGCCATGAGGCTGCTGGCCGAGGCCCCGGGCTTGCCATTGAATATCCAGAACAGAGCGGTACCCGCGATCAGCGTGGTAAGCTGGCAGCTGCTGAGCCAGAGGCCTGCCCTCACGGGCCCGACTCGTCCCATAAGCCAGGGCGCCACCCATGTCGACAGCACTTCAAACCCAACGCTCAGGGTCCTTGCAAGACCAACCTGGGTGGCAGAATAGCCCACCGAGAGCAGGTACGTCACCATCTGGCTCGCAAAGCTCAGGACCGTGAAATAGAGTAGGGCACCGGCGAAGGAAGCCAGAAACGCGCGGTGGCGGAAGTAAGTTCTGAAGTTCTCAGCAGTCTTGCTAAAGAGGCCATGAATCCGCCTCCAACCTCTGGCAAACCGAGGTTTGGGCACCTGTTCCTCATCGATATCGGCTGCCTCCGGTCGTGGCTCGTGCTTGGGTTCTTGTAGCTTTGGTACCTCATGATACACTCGAGCTATCGCATAATACTCGACAACGACAGAAGTGACATTCATGACGAAGTTGACCATGATGGCGGCTTTGGTCGAGGAGCCGTCGATCAATGCAATGAAAAGGGGGCCAAAGAGGTTGCAGAACAAGTCAATACGCCGCATTTGGGCATTCATCGTAACCAGGACCGTGTGGTTCTTGGCTGCGACAATAACAACCTGAGGTTCCGTGAGCTGTGGTCAATGCTTCTGCTCGACTTACGTACCCAGTCCTTCTCAACAGCCACCATATTCATGATAGAGGACAGCTTTTCAATGCAGGCTAAGAAGCATAAAAGCACAAGGATGCCGGTTTCTCCGCCGTAGCATAACGGCAGCCCGACGGCGAAGCTGTAGAGGATCACGCAAGATGCTGCCACAGCAAGGCGCTGGGAAACTTGACGATATCAACAGAAAGCACACCAAGAGAGAGAGCGAGGTTTTGGGGGCTAACCAATGGACACTCTGACAACCTGCAGCCGGTTGCCCGTGTCGACGTACTGTCCGACAATCGGGGCAAAGAGAATGGCGGCAAGCCCGCGGGTTAACGCGTACAGAGACATTAGAAGCAACGTCCCCGGGAAGATCCTCGCCAGGTAGAGCACAGCGCCGAACTCGAAGACCCGAGAGTTCCACGTCGACAGGAAGTGCGAAACGTAGAGACGGCGAGCAGTCCAAACTGGCACTTGGCTTGTGGACTCAACCGAGTGGTTTTCGAGCAAAGGAGTCCGTCCGTCAACGCCATCCTCGTCGCCTCGGGGACGACGAGTTGCCATCATGGCCGCCATGATGTACAAGATGCGATGACTCTTGCTACTTTCAAAGATAGCGGTGATAAGAGGCGTTGTTATCGATAGCTTTTTAACTCCGGCACCTTGTTGCCCATGGACCACGTCCACACGTCCAGCCGATGTCAGAGGCTCGGAGGAGAGAAGTCTTGTGAGTCAAATGGATGGATTTGATGCGGGACAATGATCCTTAGTCGCCCCACGTGCACATCAAGGTCCTTCTGTGGATATCCATCAAGGTTCTCAATGTCCTCTCGAGCCAATCCTCATCGGCCATCGCCCATGCTGTGATCAATCGAGCATGCTAGTGGCATCACTGGCATTTGCGGTGAATCATCATTGAATGTGGCTTTATCAACGAGGTCCCCGAGTTTCTCAACGCACTTCACGGTAAGGATATTGAGCTTTCCAGCCCATCGGTAAATTCTCCCAATCACTATTAGCGCCGCTAGTCTGCCCACCCAACAGGTTTCGAACCATCCATTGACCATGGCCAACCTTTCAGCACGATGTACCCGACTCGCCTCGAGCGAGCGATTCGCGAGATCCTCCCAATCTCCGTTCTAGGGTCTCGAGCATGGATCTTTGGCGGAGAGTTGCTCCCAAGACAGCCAGTCGACAACCGCCTTGACCTTATCGAGCTCACGTCTAGCCAAGGTGAGCACCGGGACCAACATCAGCAGCTCCCTTAATCTCGACGGCCATGGCAGTTGGAGGTTGGTGCTATTTTATAGCTGTTCGTGCTGAAAGGGTACAATGCCAGGCAGTGGGAAGAGGGTTTGAGAAGTTATGGCATCTGTTGAACTGAGCCCCACATCTCTAGAGGCTACAAGCGTCTGGATAAAGTGTCTGGTTTCACTGACTTCCATCTCAACTTCCCTCCCTTAGGAGCTCAATTTCTTTCTCAGGGTTTGCATGTCCCATTTTGACCACCAAACCGATTCCATTGAACAACCTCTCGCCATACGCAACTCCACAAAGGTGAAAGAACCATCGTCACTGCGAAAGTACCGTAATGGGAAAATGCACCAGGCGGGTATGATACTTCGCATTCCAGGGATACAATCTGCCGTTGATGTGTCAACTAGCATTCCCACCGCAAGTAGCATTCCCAGCACAACTAGCGTTCCAAGCGCTCCGCTCTCTGATTGGCTGGTAATTCTTTCGGTCATGCTCAATCCGGCTGGTCGATCAAACTGTGGCAATTGGCGCTAGTGTAAGCCACTGTAAGCTACCTAAGCCACTGTTCGCGGACGATGACAACTCACCATACCTAATCCCTTTTGAACAACGCACAAATGCTGGACATGAAGATACAAAACGAGGAATTGAGTCTTCTCTTTTTCTTACTGTTCTTAGTAAGACATCATCTAACGCTAACGTTATTCTTAAACACACATTATATACTGCCACTGGCATCAATCGGATGCGGCGATACAAGCAGAAACCCGGCGGAGGGTGACACACACCGGAGTCGGCTCGATCATCCATCAGGAGGACCACATCAGTCATTCCAGTTTCTCGGCCCGCTCTCCTCCGAGCCCGCCAGCCGATTTGAAGCAGGATACCACTGGCTGCAGTCTGCGGTAAGCTGGGCAGTATCTTGATCGGTCAGCTTGCTACATTGTTTTCAGATATCGATACAGTTCAGTAGCATCTTTGCCACGGAATCCCCATTCCTGTTCTCATGGTCATGCTACATGCCTGTAGTCACTGTTCTCATAATTGTATCATAGGCATGTGCTCCAGCATATAGGTCTGGTTGCACGCCCGTTCCTGTCATCTAGCTCTTGCTCTCTTCGTAGGAATATTGATCTTGTATGTGCGAGCTGACCAGACCTTGGGTGGTGCCCGTCACAATCTTTAAGACCTCTCTCTACT